CCTATCTCACACCATTCTCCTTTCCCTCCCCCCCCCCCATCCTCTCTCACCACTTTCCCTCTCCTTCTCTCTCTCACCACCACCCTCTCCCTCTCCCAATCCCTTCTCCCCACTCGCCCTCCCCTTCTCCCCATCCCCCTCCCTTCCCCACCCCCTCTCTCTCCCCAACCCCTCTTCCCACTCTTCTTCTCCCTATCTCCCTCCCCCCCCTCCCTCTCCCTCTAACCACTTTCCCTCCCGTTCTCCCTCTCCCTCTTCCCACCCACCCCACTCTCCCTCCCCACTCACCCTCCCCCCCCCCCTCTCTCACCACTCTGACGGCCGTGCTGATCAACTCCTCCAGCCTCTCCGGCGTGTACTCCGGACCGAAGCCCTCTCCCTCCAAACCCACACGCGCGTGGACGTCTGCCTTCGACCTCGCCGCCCTCAGGAACTCGACCGCCACGCCGAGGAAGCCCTTGTTGATCGCCACCAGACCTATGTGGGCCAAGTCACTCACTGCGAAGACAATAGCGTACGAAATGATAAAAAGAAAAAAGCTGGTCAAATGGTAATGTTGTCTCTGAGGAACAAAAATGAAGCAAATTTGCCTTCACTGCGAAGAAAATTGCGGAGACAATAGAATACGGAATGATAAAAAGAAAAAAGCTGTTCAAATGGTACTGTTGTCTCTGAGGAACAAAAATGAAGCAAATTTGCCTTCACTGCGAAGAAAATTGCGAAGACAATAGAATACGGAATGATAAATAAAAGAAAAAAACTGGTCAAATGCTACTGTTGGGTCTGAGGAACAGGAATGAAGCAAATTTGCCTGTCTATTTGTAAACTAAGAAGCGTTTTCTTTGTTTGCAGGTAGGGTGGTAGAATGTTTGTTGTTGTTTTTCAGTTTATGAATGGGTATGATTGTTTTGTTTTGTTTTTCCTAGTTTTTGGTGATTCATATTCTTGGTTTATTCATGAACATGGTTAATGTCTTTGAAAGCTGTAGTCGTTTTTTTACGTGCAAAAATGTGCTATATTAAATTCTAATGTAGTTTATACGAGAGAATAATAATTCTACCTTTTTTATTTCAGAAAAGAACATAAGGATCATACAGTTCATACAAAATCAAAAGAAGCTTATTTTATCTTATTTTATGTAAGTGTTAAGTGATTAGTTTTATGTATTGCAGATACTTTACGTGTTCTATTTCTGGAATCACATAGTAAAATAATAAATTCCTTTTTGAATGCTGATTAATATAGAATTTACCTTTTAATTCATGTAACTGATAAATCTATTTAGTTTATATAAAGCCATTCTTTTATTTTCTTTCTTTCCTCGTCAACAACCCAACTCGAATCACACTGAATAACGAATCATAAAACAATTACTCGAAAGCGTGTGGTATGACGAATCTCTCTCTCGATCTACCGTAGTATGGAGACCCCCGCGCGCTAATTCGGTCGTATTGAGACGGTAAACATGCGCCAGTCTCGCCAGGGATTCGGACGCGCCAATCAGGTCGTCGGTGTTCGGAAGGAGTTCTCTGTCCGGACGCGAAGCCAGGTGTTCTGGAATGGGAGTGTGGGTTAGGATTTTGTTTTTGAATTGATAAGAGTTGTGCGAAATGGAAGGGATTCATTGGCTTTTTTGTCATTGTTGGATTTTTTGTAATATTCACAGGTATTTTCATCATGATTGTTCCGTTGGCAAGAATGATCAGCCATTTGTCCTTTCTTCAGAATCTTGAAAAAGAGAGATATGTCATAACTTACATTTACCAAAATCTTAAAAAAAGAAATATATATATATATATATATATATATATATATATATATATATAATAAGGTTAATGACTATTAATGAAACCCTCTAAAACAACTTACAGATATTACTAAAATAACTCTTTTTCTTGAAAAAAGAAAGACACCACTAAAATCTCCAGAAACAAATCCACAAAACAAAAATAATAAATAAACAAATAAACAAATAATACACATCAATCAAAATCTCTAAACCACCTTACCAATATCACCCAAAACCCCCTTAGTCTCCTGCAACACCTGATCAACGTGCTTCCACCCCCTTGACACGTGATGCAGTAAAGCAAAGGCAGCCGCTGGGTCTCCGCTTCTCGCCCCGGAGTCGCTGCTTCCTGTCAGGTCCTCCCATGAAGCGACGTATCTGTAGGAATGTAAATATGAGAAATATGTACATGGGTGTGGGTGTGGGTGTGGGTGGGTGTGGGTGTGGGTGTGCGGTGTGTGTGGGGGGGGGGATGTGGGTGTGTGTGGGGGGTGTGGTGCGTGTGTGTGTGAGTGTGTGGGTGTGGGTGTGGTGTGTGGGTGTGGGTGTGTGGTGTGTGGTGTGTGGGTGTGTGGGTGTGGGTGGGTGTGTGTGGGTGGTGGGTGGGGGTGGGGGTGGGGTGGGTGCGTGTGTGTGTGTGTGTGGTTGTGAGTGTGTGGGTGTGTGGTGGGTGTGGGTGTGTGTGGGTGGGGGTGGGGTGTGTGTGTGTGT